TAAAAAAAAGTATATTATTTTTAAAGTCAATTGCTTTAAAACTCCGCCCAGTTAAATAATTAAATTGGGCGGAGTTATAAATCGATTTCGTATATTTTAATTGAAAAGTATTATTACGTTTTTTACTACGTAACAATGCTTGTAAGTTTTTACGTAATAATAATTGTCAATTTCATTGTTTTATTCTTTAAATTTTTTAAAAATTAAACTCGTAATTGTAAACACTTTTCCAATTTTGTGGTGATGAAGTACAAATTCTAATGCCGCCATTTTTGAAACATTTCAAGTGCTCCATTTCAAAGCAAAGTATAGCCTGTGGTAATTAAAAAAGAGGCCTTTTTAATGTCTAGCTTCTACCAGGCCCACATTAAGGCCTGCTGTTAAGAAACAAAGCCTGGCATGTAGGGTCAGACTGCAATCAAGGTATTCTAGCGCAGTTTACTATTGCTATCTTTGTTGAAAAGTTTGAAGAGCCGCCATTTTGAAGTTATTGAAATTAAAACATCCACCATTTTCTTTCAAAATGGCGATAGTTTTAATTCTTACCGTAACACACCACACTTTTAACTGGATTAAATTTTAGGCTGTATCTTTTAGACTGCGTCATAGTCCATTTCTATTATTTTATAGACCCAAAATGGCTTCCATTTTTATTTTCAAATTTAAATAAATTCAAAATTTACGAATGAATTCGAGTAAAATTTGGCATGTACACTCCTTTTACTTTATTAAGTCCGATACATAACAAATTATTTTTATGTATAGCAATGAAAGAAAATGGCGACTGCTTGAAGTTTTCATGTTTTATACGAATTTTCTCTGTTCCTGATTGTCCCATAAACATTATTATAGGTGTATCATTAGTACAGAAAGGAGTTAGAAGATACTCCGCCCAAAAATATACTACATAAAATCTAATAGTTTTTATAGATTTATGTAAAAGTCAAGCAACATAAAATATGAATTTACAAGATGGAGTAAGCATTATTTTCATTAAAAATTGAGAAGTTGTTACAGGTATAATGCGCGCGCGTGTAGGGTGCTCCGTACCAAAAAAAAAATTGATTCGATCTGTTTTAAAAATCTTGTAAAACACGCTTTCACTTTTAACTTAAAATTTATCTTTAAACAGCGTGAAATATTTAAATTTATTTTTCGCGTGTTAAGTCAAGAATTTAATTTTTCTATTAACAAAAAATAAAATAAAATAAAAGAAGAAAAATGTAAACTTTACATTTCTCAAATTTTTTTTGTACTTTTTTAAATATTTTTTTGTATTATTTGTTGGAGTGTATATGCGAGAAACGTAAAGTAGATTTGCAAAATAGTTTGATTGATGACGTTTCTTTGCTTCTGCAAGTTTTATGGCTTGATTCTTCTATTGTAGAAAAGATATTAAGAACGATATGTGGAAATGTAAAGATGAAAGAAAGGGAAAAAATAATAAAAAAAAAATAAATATAAGAAAGGGAAAAAATGACAACAAAATGTTCCAGTTGTTAAGAAATGTTCTCTTGATGAGTTACACAAAAGAAATGTCATCATTTCTTTTCCTTTTATTTTATTTTATTTTTTATAAGAGGGAAAGTCATTCTACAAATTTAAATGCGATTTTTGAGGGGGTATCATTTATTATTTTTTTCTTTATTTTGAATAATTTTACAATATAATCTGATGTCTTGTGCTTTGTATCTTGAGACTGCGGGTTGTCTGTCCTCTTCTGAGGATTTATAACGTTTAATACGAAGCGTGTTGAAAGCTCCTGCCCAATTTTATACGGAGTTTATGTAGTAATAAACTTAATTTGTTTGAAAGGGTGACGAATTATATCAGTTTTTTTTTTTCGATAAATTAACCTGCAGACAGACATGTTTTAACGTCTCTATATATTGTTAACATTACAAAGAATCCAATGGAGAGGTTCCAGTTTAGAGAAATGATATGAGAGTTTGTATATCAATGAAACAAGCAGACATGCAAACGTACATATTTTATTTCTTTTTACAACAAGGAAAGTCATTCTATAAATTTAAATCGACATTTTCAGGGGGTGTCAGCCATTCTTTTTCTTTTATTGTGAATAATTTTACAATATAATCTGATGGTATCTCGAGACTGTGTGGGTGTCTGTCCTCTTTCGAGGATTTGAAGAGATCGTAGTAATAACCAATTCTGTGTTTTTTATTCAAATTGCTCGAGTTGTGTCGAGTATAGCTTCAAATTATATCGCTTCGAAGCATTCGTTTAAAATTGACGTACAGACATACTGACATATACATAAGAATCTTGTGGAAAAATTTCAAGTCGTAGAGAAATAATATGGGAGTTTTTATGTGTTTGTGAACGAGCAGACACGCAAACGTACGCACTGAAAACATGACAGAACCTAATTTAGCGTAGAAAATGAGTATTTTAGAGCATGCTATAATAGAGTTTCAGTTGATTAGCACGAATAGTGTTACGATTGCAAACATGGCCCTATCTCTTTTATGACGTTTTACTGGAAGGTCCCTCATTAGCACGTGTAAATTGGTTACGTCACTAAAGAACCAGTGTTACGTTGCACTGAAAACTTTGTGTAGGATTTGGAGGGAGCCATACCTACTACTTCCTAGAAGAGAAACCTTCTCGGATCGATGAGTTACACAAATTCAAAAGCGAAGTGCAAACATAGCATGTGACTGTGATGTACGATCCGTGTGACAGATGACTGATGAAGCTGATTACGTCATAAAAGGTTGAGACGTTCCGCTTTGTTCTGATGACGTCAGATGATGATAAAAGAGGTATATTGCCGTCCGGGCTGCGTCACACTACGCAGAATTCCAAATTACAAGTCACGTAAGAGGAAATTTCGGGTATGGTTTTAAGGTTTCTCACCTAAAAACTCGTACCCGAAATCACGCGATTAAGGCGATTTTTCCGTTGAAGGGCCGACAAACAGGAAGGGCCGTGTTATCCGATATCCATGGTAACTCGAACATATTCGCCTCGTGGGAAAAACCCCGGTAAAAGTCATGCTGCTAAAATGCGCCTGGTGTGAGGTGAGATATTCGATTTGTTAATGCTGCAGCAGGAGCTAATACAGCAACAAATTAGCTGCTAATTAAAAGTGCTAACAACGTTAAAGTTTCGTATAATTGATCGGGTTATTGCATTACATCCCCTCATCTACCAAGGCGTGCGATCACGTGACAGGCCGGAGCGGTTCGAATATCCTGCGCGTGACGCCCAAACTTCCGAATCGCGTGACACTTTTACAGGTAAGGATAGAATTTTCGGAGGCTCGAAACATGTGACGCTTACATCCCGTGTAATCCGTTACGTGTTTAGCTTCGTTACGGATGATGGCATCCAGTCACGTGATTCGGGAAAGGTAAGAAAATCCTGTTTGAAGGGAAGGAGCGGGGGAGATGCCACTCATCAGGGGGAAGAGAAAAACCTCTCCTGCGACGCCTTGTAGCGGAATCTCTCTGACAAATGCATTTCTCGTGTTCGGGAGCATAAAGCGAAGTGGATGTATTCCCACGTGCTGCACCCCACAGGAGGATTTACTTTGTAAAAGTGTGCTGCAACTTACTATCTAACACCTCAGAACGGTTTTGATTTCTTCCAATTACATTACAGAGAAGAAGAGGGGGAGGGTAATCTATCACTTCATACACGGCACCCACTTCCTATATAATTCCCATTAGTCACATGTTACCAGGAAGTGGAGGACATCTTATCCAAGCTCTATTTTAATCGTAACAAATTGAATCAGATCGAGTAATAAAGGGGACAGATTACAGTGACGTGTTAAGCACGAAAAAAATCATTAAAAATCGACCATATATACACATATATAGAACGTTACGTGACGTTTAATTATAGAAATTCCACAGCGTAACTATAAAAATCCGTAATGAATTGACTCTGGCTGGAAGGGGGGGTCCAAAAAACGTTCGACCACGCGACACCACGTTACGTTATCACGTGCTAATTCTTCTGACGTAATTTATAAGCGCATAATTCTCGCGATCACGTGATGATAAGCACATATTCCAGAAAATGGGGACGCTTTTTAACACCTTTCTAACACATTCCTTGATAGGGGGATGAGCTGTAAAAGTGCGCGAGAACGGACGAGGGAGGGGGGTGAGAAACGTGATGCTTCTAATCATTTTCTTCTTTTACAAGTCGGGTGACGGAGCGGTTCAGGTGCTGTAGATGCTTGTAATCAGTAGAAGAAGCGCCATTGTTTTTATACGGAGGTGAAGATGTCTTTACTTCCGATCGATTGCCGGGGTGTCAGTCATTTTATCGATCTCTTCCCTCTTACTTAATGCCCTATCGGATTATTATAATATCTTCCCAAAATTGATTTTATTCTTACTTTTCTTCTCCTTCCTTCTCTTAAGCTTCGCATCATCCCCCTTAAACTGGAGCGAATTGCTCCCGAGTTGTGTGTGTGATTACGCTTGCTTGGGCGGAGTTGACAGCATCCGATTCTTCTACATCAAATTGTAATCACGTGATTCATCATAAATAATTATAAACTTAAATTTTGAAATGACTCCCCCTTTTCATAATTCAAATCTTCTCTCTTTTTTGTTTTTTAATTTAAATTCCCATCTACCACTTTAAGCTCGAGATTTATTTAGTCAAATTTATAAAAGTTCTCCGCCCAAATTATCATTATAAAATATATTTTATTTATTTATTTTATTANTTTATTTTTAATTCTAAATCGATCGTTTATGCTCTAGAAGTGATTATATAAGTTTTATCGAGTAAAGAACAACTTTATTAAGTAAAAATATAAAGAAAGAAGCTTAGATATTCCCTTTTTTTACGTTTGAAAGGTAAGAAAGAAGGGAAAAACCATTAATAAGTATTACAGTAGATAAAGCGATGCTGACCACAATACAGATTAAAGCGTCAAGGTATGATAAAGTAAAGTAGATAAGTAAAAATAATTCTACTTTATATCAAATACTTCAGCCATAATCATCAAGAATTTTTCAATAGATGACTGGAGGAAAGAAAAAAAAAAGAAATAGAGTAGCTAAAGAATAAATCTAGTATTTACCTGAAGGATTTAAAAAAGGAATTAGTTTAGAATAAATCCGAATAGTTCTTTACTTTTTTTAGATTATCCGAAAAGAACTTTCGATTAAAAAAATTATAAAGAAAAGAAGAAAATTTCTAATTTTCTTTTCTAGTATCTACCTAAATACATTTTATATTTTCTCTTACAAAACAATTTATATTAGATCTTCCCCTTGTGTATTATCTTTCCACCTCTCTTCTATATCACGTAGACTATATACATACGAAGAGGGAGGTTAAAATTAAAATTTATATTCCTTTCCCCCTTATATTAAACTTATAAACAACTTATATTAAATCTTTCTCCTTTTCTTGTGTTTAACATCTTCTCACTCCTCTTCTTCACATAGATTATATATACAAAAGAGGGTTAAAACTGAAAATTTATATTATTTATATCAAACCCCCTCCTTTTATATGTAATATCTTCTCACCTCTCTTCTTCTTCACATCGATTATAAATACGAAGGGGGAGAGTGAAAATTAAAATTAATAATTCGAGTGCCATTATCTGGATATCAATTATGTAAAGAGACCGAAGAGTTGAGCTAATTTAAATATTAAAAAAGGGGGGACAGTTTTGTGATCGAAAGAACATCCACATAAATTAATTTAACTCTTTTCTTACCCTACAACACATTTTCTAACTGCAATTATTATTCATAGTTACAACAATAAGTTAAAAAAAAAGTATTATTTCGTCACGCCATAAAACACGCAACAATATATTAAAAGCGAATGGCTTCTTAACCCCCCACACGAAAAAAATCGAGTAATATTAATTAAAACAAATCTTTATATCTTAAGATTGCGGTGGCAACAAATTGAATAGATCTAACGAAGTTTTATTGTGATGTAAATTTTCTCTCTGCGTGAAATTTAATCA